AAACCATTTCAGGTGACTACCTCTTGAAGCTCATGGAGAGAATGCCAAGAGTGTGCAAAGCAGTAATCAGAGCAAAGGGTGGCTATTTTGAAGAAACTAGAATATAAAACATGTTTTCAGTTATTTCACCTTTTTTTGTTAAGTACATAACTCCACATGTGTTCATTCATAGTTTTGATGCCTTCAGTGAGAATCTACAATGTAAATAGTCATGAAAATAAAGAAAACGCATTGAATGAGAAGGTGTGTCCAAACTTTTGGCCTGTACTGTATATATATATATATATATGTATATATATATATATATATGTATATATAGAGTCAGAAAGTTATGCATTGATGTAACTACCATCTATCTATGAATATCTGCACAGATCCAAACAGCAGCTGCAGATAGCCTTTTCAGTCAGGCCATGCTTGATTTAACATTACAGACAGAATGGCAACCAGGTATAAGAGTGATGCTTGAAGGTATTGTGACAAAATAAATGACATGAATGTGCAGTTCAAGCTATGCAACATTAAACTTGCATAATCATAGCTAATCTCTACAATCTGTGCAGTTCATAAAGGTAGGCTAACATTAACCCCTACTCACGTTAGATTTTTTTTTCTTTTTGTGAATACTCGACAATAATTTAATGCAAATACTCAAATGTCGAAATTACCTCAAATGCCCTTCCCAGCTGACAACTTAAAAAAAGGACACTTTATGTTGGTTTTTCCATAAAAAAATCCACCCATCTTTAGTTGTAGGGTGTCAGAATATGTGTAATTGCCATGAATGTGCCACCACAGAATCTGGATTTGATCATTGGCCAGTGTTTTCTTTAGGCTTCCGTAGCTATAGTAGCTATGCTGTGCACATGATCACACTTAAATGCTGGATTTACAAAGCATGATATAATTTTTGGGTGTTTCTCTCCTTTAACATATCTTACATGAATAGCAACATCTGTTGCTTCAGTTGAATTTCCACAGAGCCTCAAGTGCATTTTATGATGAAGCTGACCTGTCTTCCTCTGTTTGTTTCCAACCCGTCCTTTCCTTGCTTCCCCTCTAGGGCCCACATGCATAAAGGTCGCACCCGCAGACGAATCGTGGTGAAGGGACCTGGGCAGCGCAAACAGGTCCTTCTAGAGCAAGTGGACAATCCCATAAAAGGGTCAAAACCACACGACCTCCAGCAGCATCTCCACCAGCTCTTTCACCGCTACTACAAAGAAGAAAAGGAGGACAACAATGAGGACGATGAAGACGAGGAAGAGTAGAAAAATGTGTAACACTCTTTTCCCCGCTCCCTGGCTCTGCCCATGCTAAAGTCCCCCCCAGTCCTATGCATTAGCCACATGCAATCCCAGTGTGCACCACTGCACCTCAAATCTACCACTGTCTTCCCACTGAAGTCCTGGAAGATAACCTTTTGTTCACAACTTGTTTTCTTCCCTGGCTGGTTTAACGTATTCATGATTTTCTTTTCATGTTCCCATGTTGTTTTGCCTTTTTGTGACCAAAGAAAGCCTTTTGTTGTTTTCCTGATTCAATTTACTTTCCATGTCAGAATTGATATTTTTGTCTTGATGCTGTGGTAGAGCAACAAAAGAAAAGAAAAGAGAAAAAAAACAGAGGAATACTATTCACATCAACTAACTCGTAAACCTCCTGAAGGTAAAGAACACTTTACCTGCAAAACACAGGTACTACTCCTTGAGTATGTGCTCGGACTGAAAGACAATATCTCTCACACTGCACTGCCTCTCACAACCAGAGTTTCTCAGATATTCCTTACTTAAAAACTGTCTCACTCACTGTACTAGCCTCTCCGCTCTTTTGATTCAGGTGGTCAAGATGTCACACAGAGAAAACCCGACTGTATCGACACTGAATTTAACTGCTGCTGCTGCTGCTGCTGTGTTTTGTGTAGGCTATGTGTAATCTTGTCTTTGGGAATTATATATTATCTATAATCTAGACATTATGGACATCAGTAGCCTAGGAATTAATAATCACTCATGTGAAGTAGAGCAGGCATGACTAATCAACAACATCTGTCATTATGATCCTAGCTTTGACTGCTTTGTAGTTCTATGGATTGCCCTTCTGCCTCTCTTTTCCTTCTGTGTGTGTCTCACCTTCTGTGTTGTTGTGTTTAATTTTATTCAGTTTTGGAGGGTCTTTTTCTCTTAAATTGATCTCGACTCATATTGTATGAATGGTGAATGTGTGAGGGAGATTGTGCAGTAGGTGCTGCATGTATGAGTGTGTGCTAAATACTGCACTGTCAGCTAGTTCGGAAGGGATATTGTCAGTTATTATAAGCTTATTTTTTGAAGATGTCTTAGTTTATTTTTGATTTTGAGTTTACTAGTAAGTGTAGATAACTTATTTAATCTTTGTTTGCCACAGGTGATTAAGGTCATCACAGCTATTTTAAGAGTCACTCGTCTGATGTGACATTTGTGGTAAGGTTATCAGGTGTTTCTGCTTTATTTCATGTTAGATTTTATTAGTTTATCTCTTGAACGAGTGTTGGACCAGTTTGTGTGGTGTTTGTTTGTGAGCGAATGAGTCTGTGAGTGTAGTAAAAGAGTGCGTACCAGTTTCCCTCAGCGAAGAAAAGAAACATTTATTTTACACAAACTGCATTTGCACTCCTGAATGTCAGGAGGGAGCACCTCCATGCTTTATGTGCACAGGATATGAGGTACAGTATATCTTAGCCACAGATAGCTTTTATTTTGACGGGGGGGCAGATGACAAATACAAGATAATGACACACCAGGCACACGCGCAACGAGGCAGGTTGAGAGCTTAAACATACCATTATTCACAGCTCTGAGCATCGCTACTGTATGTATCTACAACATGTAATGTATTTATTTCACTATCACTGTTTACTTTGTGATTTAGAAAAATGTAAAATGCAAACTAGTGGAAGTTCACTGTGACAGGTATGCTTTTAATTTGAAGAATCAGCATCCCTTTTCTGTGATGATGACAGTTATATACATATACAATGCATATATAAATATCTATAAGGGCATGTATTACTGTATCAAAATTCAAAAAGACAAAAACAAAATGGCTGCAGTGTGTCTATGGCTGATAGAGAATAAAAGTCTACAAATGTATAGTGTTTCTTGTTTTGAATTTGTACAGTGCAGTTCACTCGCTAACTTACAAAATGCAGCATCATATGTGTGACATGGTGCTACCCCCTGCTGGGCATCAGAGGTAGTGCAATAGTGGAGCAGTAGATTCTTGTTTAAATGGAGTGCCACCTAAATTAAGAAAGTCCAATATGTTTTTTCCATGGCGTATGAAAGCCCAGTCAATATTTGTGACCATGAGCTACTACTCTCTCTGAGTCAGAAACAGGCAGTAAGTCTCTAACTTGTGATGTCATAGGATATAAACTCTGGAGCTGCAATAAATTGGAGCCTGATTTTTTGGACCCACAGAATATTTTTATTTTTTATACCTAAATGAGCTTTGGTCTGTTGTAGTGTTCTCAGATGTGAATTCCCTTGGGTGCCCTCAGTGTCATCTAAAACATCTTTCACCATTCATTGTCTATGGTGCAGCTCCAGACGTTATAGGCTACCCTATGACATCTCATGGATTTGGGAGACAGTTGTAAATTAAAATTAAAATTGATATAGAAATGTCACAGATTTAAAAATAGAATTGAACATAATTGTGGTTCCATTATGCAGTGTCACAATTTTTAAAACATAAAAAGACCCTAAATATTATAATCAATTTGAGGGTCAATCATTCAATGAGGCTGTATGTAGGCTAACTGAGACACTCGAACCAGTTACTTGTGAAATGTCACAGGACAGAGCAGCCATGAGGGGAAGACACCGTGTTGGGCTCATTACTCTAAAATGTAATACACTACTCGTTACTCCATTCAAAAGTAAAAAATATTACTTTACACATTACTCCCTGCCAACAGTAATTCGTTACACTACTCGTTATATTACTTTTCCGTTACACCTCATAAAATTGGTAATTGCGTATCTCTGATAGCCTACTTTTTTTGACTCGGGAGACTTCAGTTGCCTGTGACCGATATTTCCCGAGGCTCTGCCTGAAAGAAGGCGTGTCACTCATGGAGCAACATTTCATCCACCTCATATCCAGCCACAAGCTACATTATTTCTGTATAACCTGTAGCTGTCCACGAGTAAAATCCAGTTTGGGTTGTTCAGCTCGTGCGGCGCTACAGCCGACCTCCGCGGCCGAGGAGGGCTCACCTTTGGTGGGGTGTATTTCCTGGAGCTTTACGTTGTTGAGTTGTCGGTGGTAGTTTCCGAGGTGTTTCAGACCGGAGGTTTGAGGACGAGTTTTTCGCAGTGGAAAGAGTTTTAGTCCGACTACACACAGAGACAGTGTTCTTGTCATCTTTCCTCCTGACAAAACCGAAGTAATGGGAATATTACCAGCCGCTAAGGTAAGAGTTTCAAACTAACATTAGCTTGCTGCTCAGTGACGTGCTAACATGGGTACTAGAGTAGGTCCATTGATGTGACTTGTATTTCAAGTCAATAGTGATGTGATAACAAAAGTAACGTCGAAACGAGTTGTTTGGTTTAGGGGTAACTGTAATGTTATTACTGAAATTTTATTAGAAATTTGTTACACTACTCGTTACTGGGGAAGTAATGTTATTACTGTAACGCGTTACTAACAGGCCAGGATGAAATCCATCATTTTGAAGGAGTTGTTATTGTAAGATTGATCACCTGCTTTGGTTTTGCTCCTACAACTGACAAGTCTATAAATACATAACAATGTTTATCTTTACCCTTTTTGACATGTTTCCAAAAGCACATTGCCATCTTAAAATTTGAATCATTTATTAATTTGAATAATTCAGGCCATAGCAAGTTTAGAGAATTACTAGCAGCTGTAGGTTACCAAACCACTTGATTACGAAAAAGTACCACATATTAACTACTCAAAGTTAAACCTCAAATTGTAGTTCAACTACATCCAAACTACATCACAGGAAATGGTCACAATCTGAGTCTGGATCTCATATTGTTACACAGAGGTACAACTGAACTGACACTGAGTAAAGTGTGGGTGTGTTTGTCATGTTGGAAAGGTTACTTTTCAAATGTAATACAGATTACTAGTTACCCTGTAACAAATGCAACAAGCGACATAACTGCTCCATCAATCAGTTACTCCATCAACGCAATTTAACTTATTACTTTTGATTACTTTTCTAAACTGGGCAGTAAAGATAAAAAGTCATAGAAACAGAAGTGCACACGTGTTGCACTCACTGGCGTTGCCCTGAAATATGCCAAAAGAGGGCATTCCTGCACTGTGAAAAGACTATGACTAATGACTAAATTAATATGTTATATTCCTCATGTAGGCCAGAGCTTTTAACCAGACAGAATAGATTTGGATGATACCCCTTTGTAATCACCAACATTTTGATTAGTAACTGTAATTTAATTACATATTTTTCTCAGTAACTGTAATTGATTGCAATTAAATTTGTCTTGTCATTTAATTACCTAACTCAGTTATATGTAGCTAGTTACTCCCCAACACTGTGTTTAATTAAGGTACTAGGGCAGGCCAATTTTTGGCCAACTTTTTTGGCCAATGTTTTAAAGAGAGGACATGGAGCAATTATTGGGGCGGAATCAGGAAATTCTTAGTATTTGATTGGTGACATCTTGGTTGCAAACCAGAGGTGACATTTGTCAAATAGATGATTGTCATTAAATGACAACTGTGGCCAGTGAGCTGTAGCATTGTGCCCTATTGTATGGCAAAAAAACATCATAAGATGCTATGAATATATAGTTTGTAAAGTAGTAAACTACTGAAAAAGCTGCTGAGATTATAGTGTAGGTGCCACAGACTACAGCAAATTGTACTTAAACTAGTAATTGAACTACATGTATTTACTCCCCAACAATATAAAGTGTATATAGAATTTCTGGTATATAGGCCTACACATTTGGACTCATATATCATGCCAATATAGCCAAAGAATGTAATAGGATAGAGCAAAGATCATAAAGACATACATGAAATAATTAACTTCAAGTCTAACACATCCTTGTATGCAGCTCCCCTCCACCACACTAAGGCAACAATGATCAACCAGCAACACAAAACAAGTTAAAACTCATTCATTATCACACCTTTTAGCTGATTTATTTAGTTCTTAAACATGTTAAGCCATCCATTGCCGTGCTGGCAACAGGTTCACACCATATAAGGAGTGGTGCATTGCATTGACATCATACGTTTCGTCAAAAGAAATGTTTATCATATTTTCCCCTTAAAAAAGAAGAGACCAACCAATTGACAAGAGCAAAAAGTAAGGATGACGAAGACACTGGCACTGTCCTGCAGTGGTAAGGAGGCCACTGGCTGGTAGAAGCACTGATCGTCAAGGAAGACATCCCAACATTTATTACAGTCTCATCTGACTCCTTTACTGCTGTCATACCATCCTCTTGTCTGTTTGCAACGTTCGTAAATCAAATGCTGTAACGACGCTTCCAGACTTTTTAGCCTGACCGTCAAGTTAGCACTTGACCTAACTGAAGGTAGAGACTATAGTGCCTTTGCTCCATCTTCATCATCTCCACCTTCTCTGTGCAATTGGCTTAGTAACACACTGGAAATGACAAGAATAAAATGATAACAGAAACCCTACATACAGTCATACAATACAAGTACAAACATTATGAAAAAATGAGTTTGTTTTCTTCTCATTTTTATACAAAATGTAAGGGGTGCTTCGGCAACCAGGAGTTTATTCTTCCTCCTCTTAGATATGAGGTTTTGATATTTACGCTGGATATTAACCTTAACTGTGTTATTGTTTTTACAACAGTTCCATGATACTGGAGGACATTAGAAACATTTGGGACAGGACTGATGCACAACATTAACAAATGCAAACAAACAAGTCAGTGATTCACAAATCAAACAGAAGATATTGTAGTTTCATATGATCTTACTTACAATATTCCCCCCCATGCACTACACAATAGTCTTGAATTTTCATATATTACATATATGCTACATTCTCTTATTTCTTATTTCACTGATATAAAGGCAAACATATCTCAATGCAAAGTGTAAGCTGCTCTGCTTTTCTTTACATTTAAATTAGTATTATAGGTTGAAATCGGACGATTCAAACAGTATGACTTAGCTCATAGCAAACATAAATGTAGCTCATAAACTGGATTTTACGTAAACTCTTAATTCCTCTGATAGCAAGAATAGCAATTTCAATGTTTGTTTTTATCAACAATCACAATGTATATACATCACCAGAACTAAAGCAAGCTCAATTTTAACATTCTGATCTTCCAAATGTTTTTGTATTGCACACACATAAATACACATAAAAATACAGAACTAATTTTTGGGAGAGGTTACAATAGTAGATTTTTAAACATCTCTATTTTTATATTTAAAATGCATACCAAAACATCTTAAAAAACAAACAAAAAAAATGTCAATATGCTTGTTTCATAATGTCCAAATACGGTGTGCAGCCACCCGGTGGTGGTTTCGAATGATGTCCATTAATAAAATGCCATAACAGTAAAATGTATTAATACTTGTATCCTGTGCGATGTCACGTCCTTAAAGAAGGGTCAAAGGTCAGACAGCAGTCATGGGTTGGCTAGTTGACTGCACTACTAGATTTGCTGATGGGATTTTTTTTTTTGTTTTTTTTTTCTTTTTTTCTTTTGGACCACATGTTGATATTCCATTAACTGCAAGAAGAGAGAGAAAGAGAACATATATTTGAATTTATACATGCAGAGGGGCACACAGCGCTATGACCATGTTGGGTAATAAAATAATCAGACCAGTGGGCTTTTTTCATAGCTGATATTAGGACATGTAATAGCAGGAGAGCAGGAAGCACCGGCTTGATTAATAACATTAACAGGCCTGGGCACAGTACCACTGTGCATGCTGGCTCACTGGTATTACAAACTGGGAATAGTCCTTACACACCTGTTGTCCATTGATCCAGGTGGTTTCCATTACTTTGCCTAATGTGTGTGTTTGTACAGACTCTCTTGTAGCTCATGTTGTACCTGTTAAGGTGGGACAACTTACA